AGTAGTTATTGCATTAACCCTTAAGTTATTCATCATGCATAATGGGCAAGTCATATGAGTTCCTTACCAGCACGGCCAGGGTTTGGGCCCTTGTTCTGATTGTAGTCAGCCACTGCTTGCCTCAGACGGGTGCTTGCCTTGGCAATGCGGAGGCCCTGCACACCCTTGACCACGACCTCCTTGATGACCCCGCCGAGAGTATGCATGCCATCCATGTTGATCATCGAGCAGGGGTTGAAATACCGCAGGATGTAAATGGGGCAGGCAAGGCCCACGAGCTCTGGACGCCCAGGGACAAGGAGCTTTGCAGCTCCTGGCTGGCCCACTGCATTACCCCTGACGGCATTCACTGGGCTCCTCCCCCGCCTTCCCCGCCGTGCAACGCCTGCACCACGGGTGTTTGCAGTAACGGCCCCACGGGACCCCCGGCCCCCGTCTCGCCCAGTGCGGCCCCTGCCACGGCTGCGTCGTCCACCAGGTAGCTCTTCCTCAAGCTCGCGTGCATGCTGGCGGCCACGCCCACTGGCTGGCTCTTCATCCGCTTCCACCTCCTCCTCACTGACATCCCCTGCAATGACTCCTGGCTGGCCCACTGCATTACCCCTGACGGCATTCACTGGGCTCCTCCCCCGCCTTCCCCGCCGTGCAACGCCTGCACCACGGGTGTTTGCAGTAACGGCCCCACGGGACCCCCGGCCCCTGTCTCGCCCAGTGCGGCCCCTGCCACGGCTGCGTCGTCCACCAGGTAGCTCTTCCTCAAGCTCGCGTGCATGCTGGCGGCCACGCCCACTGGCTGGCTCTTCATCCGCTTCCACCTCCTCCTCACTGACATCCCCTGCAAAATCATCAGTGCCATGGCTGGGCCCCCCGCCATCACCATGGTGCACCCCAGCATTCGCAGCAAGTGCAGCCTTGACAGCTGGTGGCTCCTGAACACCTGCCGTGAGCTCCTGCCGTGTTCGAAATGGAGGTGGTCCTTCGTCAGTGCCACAAGCCGTTGCTAACCTGCACACAGCACGGGTGGACCCACAAGGGAGGGCCCAGGCTTTTTATCTAACATGTCAGAATTAGAGAGAAAGAAAGACAACTTAGGGTTTAGAGAGAAGAGAATACAACTGGTGCAGCCCCATCTCCGTACCTGTGCAGATCAGCAACATCAGTACGCCAGGGATGACCTGGCGAGAGCCAGCGATGATGGTTACACCAAACCGTCTTGGTGCCCACCCTGTGCCCGACAGCACAGCACTTGAAGCAGCCAGACGGTGAGGGGGTGCCCTTGAGGCCGAGATGCTTCTGGAAGCCCTTATAGTCCATCACAAGACCCACGTTAGCAACATACAGTGGGAACTCCTCACCAGTTCTTGCGTCCGTTACCACCACACCTTCGGTAATCAGTGTCAGTAAGTCATCCGTGATGAGTAGAAGGGTATGATTGGGGTCGAAATACTCCGCTTGCTTCTGGCCCGTCAGCTTGACGTTTCCCGCCGTTACACACAAGATTGTGCAATATCCCAGCAGGTACCGCTTTTCCGGAGGCGCGTTGACAACGAGTAGAAGCCACGCCGTGCTTGAGCGTTCTTGCTCGTCTGCAGGCACCTGGCAGGCAGGAGGTTGGTTAATAGGGATGACAGTGAACATGGCAATATTCGATCCTCCGGCCTACCCAACCATCCCAAATCCAAGCAAACTCACCACAAACGCGTCGGAGGCAATCATTGTGACGAGGCAGCGGGGATCACGGAAACGGGGGTCCGAGGCCAGCAGTTCCTGGACTACAGCTGCATCACAAATGTCCCTCAGCTGCCCATTGCGCCTCATCCGATCTGGGCTCTGCCAGCTGGAGAACTCCTCCGCGAGCTGCTTGTTGCTGAAGACACGCCCGCAGAACCCGCCAATTGGGTTATAGGTCAGATATCTTGCCTCCGAGCGCATCTTTGGACAGGCAATCCACTCGCCTGCCCGCGGGCCAGGTACCATGCCCCCGCAATGATCAGCCCCCCGATACTCGGGCCCACGGTAAATGAACCCACAGGGGCACATGTCGTACCGAATGAGCCTTGGCCATCGACAACCACCCACATCTTGAAGCTGGGTAAGTGCTTGCTTGAAGGACGTTGGAAGAAATGGTGCTGCTGCCCTCTGTTCCCTGCTGGCATACGGCCCAGTGAAGTCAGCGTGCTTCTTGCTGAGCATCTCCCTCACTACCGTCTCCGTGGCAGATGGGCTGCTGTCCTTGACGTCAAGTGCGTGAAGGCAAGCTGTCACTACCAGTGCACGAATGGCAGTGTTGTTCGGCAATTCTGGATAAGCCACACGCTGAAACCGTGTGAGAGGCCGACCGCCATCATTCCCTGGCAAGAATGTGAAATCACCCGTTTCAAGCATACACATGTACCATGACAACTTCACACATTTCA